CATGTGTGTGGGAAGAGGGGGAGTAGAAGGGGCGAGGAGCACATGGAGCAGCTCCGAATATGCAGTAACTTCAGATTGTTCAATGCTTTCCTTACGCTTATAGGAATTCATCCACATTTTGACAAATTATCCACAAGAACAGCCAGAATCATAGCCGCCACACTTTTCTTTGAGCACAAACGGAGTTGAAAATGCTCCGATAGGTGTATTTGAACATGAGTCATCCGAATATGCAATAACATTCAGGTTGTTCAATATTTTTCCCTACCTCTGTAGGAGCGCATTCGACTCATTTGTCGGCAAAAACTCCAAAATCATAGGCACCAGACTTTTTTTTTAGCAGGGTTTAGGGTGAACATATCATCGATATGTGTATTTGAACATGAGCCATTTGAATATGCATTAACATTCAGGTTGTTGAATGTTTTTCCCTACGCCTATAGAGAAGCATGCACTTTGTAAGCATTTGTCGGCAAAAACAGCCGAAATCATAGGCGCCGAACTTTTCTTTGCGCACGAACCAAGCAGAAAGGCTCTAATACCGTCATCGCCCGGATATAAGACAGTGTTGAATAGTAGACAGGGGTTGTCTACTATACAGGTGTCTCTTATAAACAGGCTAGCCTTTTTATACGACACCTATTTGTGTGTACGAGTTAAAGGCCAAACCCCGAATTACTCAAAGCTGGTCAACTCGGTAAAACCTAAGTTCGGGAGGAGGTTGGGGGAATGGTTCGGAACAAACGCGAACGCGATGGTTCGCGAAAAGAATGGGCGAAAGCAAAGTGAATCGCAACACTGGGCCCCAAGCAACCGCCCCAAACTGGAAAGTCAATGCCTTTGCTGAATTACCGTCACGCCACCAAACTGTCATCACTTTTGGGCACAGCCTAAGTCACTCGACAGGCCGAACAGCAGGGGAAAACCGCGACGCTCCAGTTCCTATCTGGTTCCACGCAACGAACGACGACGACAGTCATGACGACGACTCCCTCACTCAATGTGAGCGTTTAAAGAAAGAAGATAGCTCAAAGAGCACCATAGCATTCAAGATGCCACGCCACTATTAGAATTGGGAGAATAGATGCGAATGTGAGAGCACGAGTCGCGTAGGGAAAACGTAAGGCGAATGTGACAGCAAGCGTCGCGTAGGGAAAACGTAAGGCGAATGTTAGAGCAAGAGTCGCGTAGGGAAAACGTGAGGCGAATTTGACAGCAACAGTCGCGTAGGGAAACCGTGAGGCGAATGTGAGCGCAGGGGTCGCGTAGGGAAAACGTAGGGCAAATGTGAGCACAAGAGTCGCGTAGGGAAAATGTGAGGCGAATGTGAGAGCAAGAGACGCGGAGGGAAAACTGTCAGAGTTATATGACATAGCTACTGTAGGCTATAGTGGGGTAGCACATATGGGGTACAGTTTCCTAGGGTTTGCCTTTTGTACCCAACTTTCACTTAGTCATTCCATTCCTGTTTTCTTGATTCACATGGTATAGAGCGGGTTCCTACATGGGACCGTTCCTTCCTAAGGGCCCACCATAAGATTTTTTTTTTAGCTGCCCCTACGCTGCCCCTACGCGGCCCCTACGCCGCCTCCCACGCGCCCCCTATGCGGCCCCTGGCGGCGCCCTGACGAGGCCCCTGCCGGCGCCCTATCGCGGCCCCTGACGCGCCCCCTGGTGGCGCCCTGACGCGGCCCTGACGCGGCCCCTGGCGGCGCCCTGACGCGGCCCTGCCGCGGCCCCTGACGCGGCCCTGACGCGGCCTGCCGCGGCCCCTGCCGCGGCCCTGAAGCGGCCCCTGACGCGGCCCTGAAGCGGCTCTGCCGCGGCCCTGACGCGGCCCTGACGCGGCCCTGCCGCGGCCCTGCCGCGGTCCCTGGCGGCGCCCTGACGTGGCCCCTGACGCGGCGCCCTGACGCGGCCCCTGCCGCGGCCCTGACGCGGCCCTGCCGCGGCCCCTGACGCGGCCCTGACGCGGCCTGCTGCGGCCCCTGCCGCGGCCCTGAAGCGGCCCCTGACGCGGCCCTGACGCGGCTCTGCCGCGGCCCTGACGCGGCCCTGACGCGGCCCCTGACGCGGCCCCTGCCGCGGCCCCTTCCGCGGCCCTGACGCGGCCCTGCCGCGGCCCCTGGCGGCGCCCTGACGCGGCCCCTGACGCGGCGCCCTGACGCGGCCCTGCCGCGGCCCCTGCCGCGGCCCCTGACGCGGCCCCTGACGCGGCCCCTGTCGCGGCCCCTGACACGGCCCCGCCACCTACCTTTCCGGCCACGCCGCCTCCTCTCAGCGGCCCCGCCGCCTCCTCCCAGCGGCCCCGGACGCCGCCCTCTCAGCGGCCCCGCCGAGCCGCCCAGCAGCCTAGCCGCCCAGCAGCTGAGCCACCGAGCCGCCCAGCAGCCGAGCCGCCGAGCCGCCCAGCAGCCGAGCCGCCCAGCAGCAGAGCCGCCGAGCCGCCCAGCAGCCGAGCCGCTGAGCCGCCCAGCCGCCGAGCCGCCCAGCAGCCGAGCCGCCCAGCAGCCGAGTCGCCGAGCCGCCCTGCAGCCGAGCCGCCCGAGCCGCCCTGTCCGGTAAGAGCAGCGCCTCTCTCACAGCACTGCCCTCACCCCACTGTTTGCGCTGCTAGTCTACTGCTGTCATGGCTACCCCTAGTGTCCTCGCTTTTGACGCTGAGGGTCGGGCCATTGACTTTGACGTCTGGATAGATGACCTGCAGCTTTTCTTACAGTGCGATAGGGCAGACGGCCTCTCCCTCTTTGACCTCACTTCTGGTGCCTCTCCTGCCCCCGCCACTGATGCTGACGCAACTGTTCACTCCCAGTGGGCCACGCGCGATGCTGCTGCACGTCTTGCTGTGCGTCGCCACCTGCCTACCTCTGAGCGTGCGCACTTTAGCCAGTACAAGAGTGCTCAGACCTTGTACGACGCTGTAGTTGCACGCTACTCCTCCCCTGCCACTGCTGCACTGAGTCGCCTCATGCTACCGTACCTCTTCCCTGACCTTGCTGCCTTTCCCACAGTCGCTGACCTCATTACGCACCTACGCACTAGTGACACTCGCTACCGCGCTGCGCTTCCTGCTGAGTTCTGCGCCAAGAACCCCCCCCCCATGTACATCACCCTCTACTACATAGTCACCCGGCTCCCTGACTCCCTTCGCGTAGTCAGGGACCACTTCCTCTCAGTTTGCCCCACCACTCTCACCGTTGACCTCCTCGAGAAGTCCCTCCTAGCAGCAGAGAAGAGCATAGTAGCTGTAGGAGCCTCTCGTGGTGACCCTCGCACCCCCATCTTTGAGGGGTGTTCCCCCTCCCCCCTTTTGCCCTCTGTTGCCTCTGCTGCTGTGGCCGACCTCGTTGGGCTTGAGTCGGTCGGTGCGGCGTCTACCCCTAGCGGGAGACGCCGCCCTGGCAAGGGCAAGGGGGGCAGGGGCGCTGGAGGAGCTAGCGGGGGCGGTGGAGGCGGCAGTGGAGGCGGTGGAGGAGGTGGGGGTGGCGGTGGGGGTGGTGGCGGGGGTGGAGGTGTCGGTGGCGGCAGTGGAGGCGGAGGCGGCAGCGGCAGTGGCAGAGGGAGCGGAGGTGGCGGCGGTGGAGGAGGAGGCGGCGGAGGAGGTGGAGCTGGTCGGGGTGGCGCTGCGCAGAGGGTCGGCTCCGGTGGTGGTCAGCGCCAGCAGCAGCAGCAGCAGCAGCAGCGCACTCGTGACATCCCCTCCCCTCAGCAGCTCCGTGAGTGGTACACTGCACGCCAGAGGGGTGGGGGTACTGGTCCGTGCGCCTACGTCCTCCGCACCGGCGACCGCGCGGGTGAGCAGTGCGGGGGTGCGCACTCCACCCAGCGCTGCTTTGGCCGCCTGACGGACGCTTGGCGTCACCAGTTCCCTGAGGCCACTGAGATCCCCCGCTGGGGTGAGCTGTCTAGGGCGGGTGTGGCTGTCTTTGACCTTGACTTTGATGCTATTCTTGCTGCCATGTATACTGTGACTATTAGTGATGAGGGTGACTGTTACCGGTGTTTTCCGCCCGACCCGGGCATTGAGACTGCTGCTCTAGGTACTGGTGAGGCTGCTGCTCTAGGTGCTAGCGAGGCTGCTGCTCTAGGTGCGTCTGCTCCCTCAGGTGCTGGTGAGTCTGCTCTCTCAGGTTCTGCGTCGGCTTCGGCCTCCCACACCTTCACCCTTGACTCGAGGGCTTCTCGCTCCTTCTTTCGAGACCGCACCACACTCACGCCGCTTAGCCGGCCAGTTGCAGTCTCTCTGGCAGACCCCTCTGGGGGTCTTGTCCTTGCTCACTTCTCCACTGTCCTCCCGTGTCCGGCGGCCCCCTCTGGCACCCTGTCTGGTCTTTACCTTCCCTCGTTCTCTACGAACTTGGTGAGTGGTGCTGACCTACAGGATGGGGGGGTTCACCAGTTCACTCCTGCGAGTCGGCGGGTGACCCACTGCACGGACGCTCGGACAGGCCGACACCTGGCCACGTTTACCCGTCGGCCGGGGTCGAGCCTGTACACCCTGACCACTGCGTCTCCTCCAGTCACTGCGTCTGGTCAGGTAGCTGCGTCGGGTCAGGTGTTTGCTGCAGCGTCCAGGTCTGGTCCTGAGTCTGCCCCCTGTTCGTGTCGCCTCCTGTCTCACGAGACTCTCCTCTGGCACCACCGCCTTGGTCACCCCTCCCTGCTTCGTCTCCGAAGCATGGCCTCCCGTGTCCTTGTTGTGAATCAAGAAAATAGGAATGAAATGACTAAGTGAAAGTTGGGTACAAAAAGGCAAACCCTAGGAAACTGTACCCCATATGTGCTACCCCACTATAGCCTACAGTAACTATGTCAAATAACTCTGACACACCCCCATAGGCAAAGTGGGGGAGAACAAGGGGTCACAAGACCAGTCAAGCAAAGCAAAGCAAGCTCAGGGTGGATCACAAAGTCACCACACATTCCGAGCACAAGTTCAAGGCCACAAGGCCAGTTCACATGCAGGATTACATATATATATAAGGCTAGACAAGCAAGAG